GCGAAACACGTGTCGTATTATCGTCGATGGTGTGTCGTTCCTAGAATAGTGGTGCTTGGATTAGTGCCGGGATTAGTGCACGTAATTGTGGGAGGGCGGGAGGTGCTCTTCAAATTAGGTAAGACACATCATTTTATTTTATTGAGCGGATGGCTGCGAATTAAATTTTAATATCTTTAGAACCCCTTTTGTCGTATCTCCTCAGTTTCAAGGCCCTCTCCTTGTTGACTAGGCCAGTATTGGAACCCTCAGCGTCAACATTTCGAATGACGTGCAGTTTCGTGATTACTTGGAAGAAATGGCCAAACTGGCCTCTAAAAAGCTTGGCGTGCTCAGCAGAGCGGGACAGTATTTCATGCACATGGCACACCGCCTGTAATTTTACAAGGCGCAGGTTCGTCCTCACATGAAATACTGTTCCCATCTCTGGGCCGGGGCTCCCCAATATTTGCTCCTTCCATTTGACGGCATCCAGAGCAGAGTGGTTCGAATCGTCGGCGACCGAGCACTTTCTAATCGGCTTGAGACTCATTAGCGCTGCGAAGAGTAGCGTTCAAATAAAATTTTTGGATTAATTCCAGCCGCTCAATTTCGCAACATCGCACATCGCAACAGAACTCGAGATACCATCCTTACCACCTGGATGATTGACGGTCAACTACTGTGCGATTTACAGGTAGTTTTCTTCATCGCACAACTTCTTTGTGGAATCGACTACCACATGTGCACGCGCGCGTATGCGCATTCACACACACACACACACACACACACACACACACACACACACACACACACACACACCGCGCGCACGACGCGCGCGCGCGCGCGCACGCCGCACGCACGCATACACACGCACGGCTTCTGTGACGACGCGCCCCCTACACCGCACATCTATATAAGTTTTGCAATTTCCTTTGCAATTTTTTCGTGCTCATTTCATTGTTCAGACTCACATTTCGATTACCTACTCAGGAAACGTCAACGAGCGATTATAATGACACTTGTTGCAGGCTCATCATGTTCCTGTCTTCAAAGTGATACGACATACAACAGCACGACGTCAACAATCGGCTCGAATAACCATCTTATTTTGCATCTACTTTAACCAAAGATTAACTTTTTTATGTATTTACCCTTAAAACGTCTTTCTCATCACATATTATATTTGCTCAAAATTTCCGATTTTAAGCGCATATAAACATTAATAATGTAAACAAAGCTTTTTAAAAGAGGAGGAAAATACAGAGAAATCTCACATTTAACAAAAAATGCAATCTATCAATGTAACTTTATATATCTTGTTAGATTCATTAAAAATTACGAATAATTTCGGTTAATACCTACTTGTAAATAGTTTAAGAATCAAATTGTAATGATGTGATAAATATATATAATAAAATTAAAATATAATTTCGAAATTTAAGACATGTGATAAGTCTATCTATTTGTTCTAACGACGGTCACTCGTACATACAACGACAATATATTTTTATTATTTAAATATTTTTCGTTCTTATTGATTCGCTTTTTTGGGTCTAATTTGTTATTCGCTTTATATTGATGACTTCTTGTTTCTAATTTATTGAACTTCTGCAAAGTAAAATCGCCAAAGTAAAGAAAAATAATTTATATGAATGTCATAAAAATAGAATAATTATAATGGTTGGTAGAGTACAGTAAAGTAGAGAAGGGGATGAAAAAATCGTATATGAAATTACTTACTTTTAAAATTAATAGTATGCTTTGTCTTTGTTCATATGTGAGTGACCGACCTATCGTTTGAATAAATCGAATATTTCACCTGTGATTGAAAAAATTGTTAGAAAAATTTGTAGAAATAAAAATAATAAGTTGTAATTTAAACCATGAATTGATTTTACGATACGATATTATGTAATTTTCAACATTTTAAATTTACCTAGTGTAATTTTTTTAAATTTATGTATAATAATCGCATGAAGAAATAGAAGAATAAAGGTGCACCTGCTACTAATTAATAAATATAGTTTTAAATTACCTAAGGTTTATCTTACCCATACGACTAAGGCGTGAGTAGCCAATGAAAAAGTACTTTTATTATTCATAATGACCTCCAGAGTTACCATTACCTTTAATCACAATTTTATATTTCAGCTACTCGCGTCATTTTGATAAAAGGATGTAGATTATAGAGACAGTTTTTATTTTATTAGTTAGATTAAAATTTCTATTATATACTTTTATATTTGTTTTGTTGTATTTTATTATTAATCTGTTTATTAATTATTGTCTTCTGAATATTTGTACGTAATAATTATAATTGATGACATTAGGGCATTAAATAAGTTGTGAACGAAATGACTCCTTTTATTTCCAATTAGAAATTATATCCCATTGGTAATTTCACTGGTTTTTCAAAACACGACAAACAAGCTTAATGGTTAAAACAGTAATTAAAAAAAATAAACATATAGCCTGTAAACTCCCACAACTATACACATAATGTTATATATAGTACCTGGATGTTTTTTTTTTTGGAAATGGTGTGTTTTGGAAATTATATTTAGATACAAATTACATACTGATGAAATATGAATAATATTTTTTGATCTTACCATAGAATAGAAAAAAAACTGAACTATTTGAATAAAAAATCGTGAGTGCAATTAGTTAAATATAAATTTTCGCGTTTTTAAAAAAATATTAAAAAGGGCTCGAAATAATAGATTTTCTCACAAAAGAAGGGAACTTGAATAAAAAGTCAGACCGAACACGAACCAGAGTACTACGATCTCAGGACCGCCCGATATTCCATTTGAGCTATTATAATCATTAACGCATTGTCAAAATTTACCTTCTTATTCTAATGATATTTTAACAGTTTTTCATTGACTGAAAACACGGATAAAACGACATTTTTTGAAAATTAAGCCTAGCTAGATCGATTTATTGCCACCGAAACCCCCTGGACACAAAATTTTACTAAATATGAAAATCGTTGGAGCCGTTTCAGAGATTACGATTATATATATATATATATATATATATATATATATATATATATATATATATATATATATATATATATATATATATATATATATATATATATATATATATATATATATATATGTCGCAGCGGAAACCTCGGGGTTGTTTTTATGGTGAGGCAGCACCACTGTCCCGATTTGACAACGGCGTTCAATCGTATCGTCGTATATTGTTTCCATTGTAATGAAAAAGATCTAAGACCACACACTTTTAATTTTGCACTACAATAACTTTATTCTACACTTATTATGAAAACTCACAAATAATACTCACAAAGTTTCACCAGGAAAATAGAACTACACCGACGAGCGCAGGAACTGAAGTGAGTATTCCCGCGTTCATACAATAAGGAAAACGTAATAACGACTTGCTCTGATTGGTCGACGATTTAATTGGTCAATACTTCACTAAACAATAACTTTTTATTGAATTCATTAGGTTAATTATGTAATTTCCATTACCGGGATTAATAATCAAATAGACAATTATTTATTTCTACGATTTAAAACAATATTTGAGTCAAAAGTTGATAATCGAATAAATCGTTGTTTTAATACGAATTAGTTGTCAATAAAGAGATTTGTAAACCAAAAGAGTTTGAAAGAACTAGCTAGTTACATGATGTTATCACGCGAGCACTTTGTTGATCCAAAAACGCATGTTGATCCGGCGCCTTTTGTTGATCCAATATGCATCTCTGGTAACTAATGTGGCTCCGATCGGATCAACATCGGCACTCACGAGACTGTTTGCTAGCGTTGGCCGAAGTTGATCCGATATACAAATCCACCTTGCGATGGTTACGGAAAATGTTGATCCGATTTAAATGAGCCAATCAGAGCACAGCAAACGCCGCGACGTTGCCGTTTCGTATCTTTGGCGGTACAAGCTACAGATTAAATGCCTGTACAATACAATAATGCATTCAGGGTGCTGTTGGGTCTGCCTCATTATTGTAATGCGTCGGGTATGTTCGCGGATGCGCGTGTGAATTGTTTCTACACCACCATGCGTAAACGATGCACATCCCTGGTGCGCAGGGTGCGGGCCAGTTCCAATGGTATCCTGAGAGCATTTTCTTACAGGTTTGAGGTCAGTACCTGAACCATTGTCATATGGTGTACGTGCTGACTAATCGGGTCTGTCTTATATATAGTTTTAAAATTAGTTAAATAGTTTTAAGTTTTACGAAAATTAGTTATAAGATTTGTATTATTACTAACATCTATGATCCTTGTGGTCGAAATAAACGACTTTTTTTAACGCATTACTCGACAACGCCCCTTCTTGTAGCGGAAGTGGTGGTAACGGCGACATAAGGTATTCGTCTGAGTGCGTGTTTGCGTGCGTGCGTGAGTGTGTGTGTATGTGTGTGTGTGTGTGTGTTTGTGTGTGTGTATGTGTGTGCGTGTGCGTGTGCATGTGTGTGTGTGTGTGTGTGTGTGCGTGCGTGTGTGTGTGTGTGCGTGTGTGCGTGTGTGTGTGCGGCAGTGTGCATGTGTGAGTGTGTGTATGCGTATGTGCGTGTGCGCATGTGTGCATGTTTGCACGCGCGCTAGCTTGTTTGTGTGTATGTGTGTGTGTTTACCATAAAACAATTGAGTGCCAAATACGCAATATTGCGTAGGTTGAAACAATGGTGGAAGCCAACTACGAAATATTACGTAGATCTTCCATAGCCCATAAATGGTAAATTATATTAATTGGCACCCTGTATTGCATATTTTTATGTTCTTTGGCCTCTTAAATAAAATAAGAGACAGAAAAATATTAACTTTATTTCTTTTATATTTCACAAATGACATGCTTTCTCAGGCAATTTTAGTGAAAAATATTAGTTTTCTAATGAGATACTTCATATTAAGTTTACTTTTTATAACAAAAGTAGTAATTATTTATTTTAAAATAAATTTAGAAAACGTATTTCTAATGAAATGAAAAATGAATTGTAACAAAAAAATTAAAATAAGCTATGCAATACGAGGATCAGTATAGAAAATTTTAAAGCAATTATTTACACATAAGGCAGGCTTTTCAGGGCAAATAGCACACACAAACGATGATTCCTTTTGCTTCTTGTTTTTTGTGCAAATGCGGCAAGGTTTGGCTGGAACGGCTTTCTTAGCGGTGGGTGGTAGTTTTTCTAAGTAATGAAAGTTTTGCAGTGGAACGAGTGCACCTTCGTTTGTCGATAAGCGACTCGCAATATTAGCAGGCGATCGAGGTGGTTCAGAGGGCCCTTGTAACGACGACGAAGGTATAAGTTGAAGTTTGTCTTGGGCATCTTGTGGTTGTACAGGTGCTGCGCATGATGCACCGGATGACACTGCTGCTGGATTCAAACTTAGTCCCATGAGATATTTTACGAAATCTTCACGAAACTATCAGAAGCATTTTCAAAGTATGATCATTGACGCGAAGTAATCGATGGGCATTTTGGACTTAAACTTCAAAAATGTGTAATGCCAATTTCTTATGCCATCTAAGAGTTTTTCGAAGGCACGAGTAATATGAAACCATCTGGTCTCCTCTGTCCACACCAGACATCCCCAGGTTGTAGTCATCAACGATAGTAGGCTTCAACGACAATTTCCCGTTCCTTTTCTTACAGTCACGAATTGCAATTTATGTTTGTTGGAAATCACTAAGACGTCGCGTTTGTCTTTCTACTTACAAACAGTAATGTCATTGCATACTTTTGCAGCCATTTCGCCAAACTTCAACTTAGCGTTGGCTACGTCTAGAGGAAGGTTCTTGCGGATCTTTCGAAGAGTACTACATATGTACGTTTTTCTTTGACTAAGACGCCTTGTTAGATCCGGTATGTTATAAAAATTGTCAGCGTAGATAACATGGCCTTTGTCTAAATACCCTTCCATTAGATCTTATACAACTTCGGTAATACGTTTCCGGTGGCCGCTTCTCACTCTTTCCTCTATAAACACGTATCTTCATAACTATTCCTGATGATTCACAAAGTTCATACAGTTTCACGCCATATTTATGTTTTTTTATTTTTTATATATTGACGAAAAACCAGTCTTCCTCTCCATAAATCCATCGATTCATAAATATTTAAATCAGTTTGTGGGTAATATATCTTAGACCTAATATTGTTAAAACGATCTAATATTGGTTGTATTTTATGCAGTCTTGGTGTTGCTGTGTCATCACTTTCAGAAAAATGAAATATTTGAAAGCGATTTCCACTCATAAGTTTTCTAAAAATTGGTAACTTGTACAGTGGATCTATTTTCCGATAATGACTTATAGTAGGTAAACGAACGAGTCCCATACAGAGCAACATACCAATGAATTTACGCATTTCTTCCTGATTAGTATCTTTCCAATACCCAAAACGGGCATGTTTTTGTACAGACCCTTTTGTGCCTTTTGTGTAGTTGTTTGTTGCTTGCACTAATGAATCCATAAAATGGCTTGAAAAAAAAAATCACCTAGCAATGCAGGAGTAAACAGGACGAAAGTAAGTAACAGAGATGCCAAGCTACGTAATATTACGAATACGTAATATTGCGTATACTGGCATCATATGATGAAAGGGTTGTAATTGGTGCCGGACTACGTAATATTACGAATACGTACTATTGCGTAGATTGGCATCCATGGGATACTTTTTCTAGTGGGTGCCAGCTACGTAATAATGCGTAGCACACCATTTGTATGGTGGCCACCGATTTCACTATGACGCTAACTTTTGGCACTCAATGTGTTAAGGACGCGTTTACAAAATTGATAGGTATAGAATCGGACTATTACATGAGATATTATCATGAGACCTTACCTCCGATCTTGTAACTAACACTGTAACACCTGGACTAGTAGAAATAGGTATGCCGAGTATGGGTTTGTTTTGTTAGTTATGATGAAACCGTCACAAAACAAAAGTTCTTTTCACTTTGTCTCTAGTACCAATAGGTATCCAAGCTGATATTCGGAAAAATGAATAACCTCGTAGTAACATCTTTAGGGGCAGTATCGATATCCACTTACCAGTCACACTGTTTTTCGCTGTAACCAACTGTCCTTTATATGAGCCTCACTTGCCCTCACGTGGTACCCACTTTACTGCACTCCAGTGCACCCACCACCACCTCTGCCACCTACGCCTACGCCTCCACATCTACCACCGCACCCCTCTCTAAGCCTTCGTTCTCCACCTCCGCTTCCACCATAAACTCTGCTCCATCCGCCTCAACAATAAACTCCGCTCCCTCCGCCGCCACCATCACGCGCCGTCACTATTCTTTCCGCCTCCAACACAATTCCCCGTTTCCACTATCTCCGACTTCACCACAAATTCCTCTCCTCCGCCTACACCACATACTACGCTGCATTCACCTCCGCCTCCACGTCTCCATTCTCCGCCTCCATTTTCTGGGCGCGCGCACACACACACACACACACACACACACACACACATACCCACAAACACGCACTCAGACGAACACACACGCACACACACATACACACGCACTCGGACGAACACACACGCACACACACACACACCCGCACGCACGCTCACGCACGCGCATACACACACGAGCGCTCTCGCGCACTCACATAAATACAAACACACACACGCACACCTACACACACACACACACGCACGCGCGCGCGCACACGCACACACACACACACACACACACACACACACACAAAAACAAACCTATCTGCACGCGCGCGCGCGCACACAGATACACATACGTGCGCGCTTACACACACACACACCCCGCACATACACAAACACAAAACAAGAGTGGACACACGCACACACTCGTACCCACACACAAAAGCAAACATACGCACAACCGCGCGCACACACACACACACACACACACACACACACACACACACACATACACACGAACAACAGTTAACACACGCACACACACACTCACTCACACACACACACACACACACGTACTAAAAACACAACAGCGCACACACGCACACATACACTCACACACACGCGCCCGCACATACGTTCACACGAACACACATGAACGCACATACACCCACACGCACGCGCACACACAAACTCGCATAAACACACACACACACACACACTCACTCGAGTGACAAATTAATTTGTAATAAAGTACTATCCATCATGTTCTAATTGATCTATGACAAATGAATAAAATAACACAAATTCACTCACACGATAACAAAAACTCGAACAAATGTCTTTCCACAATAAAACCTGCCAAAGTTTGATCCACAAAATCAGCAGATAACGTATTTTCTTACCTTATACACACTATAACGAAGTAGCCTACTATGTTTTCTGTCACACACAGAACGCGACGTTGCCGCTTCGTGTTGGAGTACCTATTCGTCAATTATGGCTCCGGATCCACTTAGTCTAAGTAAATGTCGCATATAAATTAAATATACTCTGGATCTAAAAAATCATATTCAGTATGATTTTTTTCGACCGTTGATAGATCAACTAATGTTGGTCAAATCGCTGACGAGTATATTGAAATCCTGTTAGTGCAGATCCACCGACGTCACACGCGCATCAAGAATGGAAGCAAACACGTCAAATAGGTGGATCAACAATTGTTCTAACTTCCCACTGGATCAACATTTACCGTGAAAGGATGATTATATATATATATATATATATATATATATATATATATATATATATATATACTAGCGGATTTTAAGAATTTTTAGCGGATAAAAAAATAGTTTTAGCGAGAAATAATTATTTAGGGACTTCTAGCGGTATTTGGCCTTTTGAGATGGCGACTTTTTTTATAAAGTAATTCATTTCAAATAAGTCATTCATCATATGTCCAATTTTGTAATCCACCGTTGGTAACACTGTATATGTAATTTCACGAGAATTCCTGAACATAAACTAACAATTCAATGTCGTTCATTCACTTTCATCTGTTTCGACCTTAGACCATGGTCTAAGGTTTCGACATACAAAAATGCAGCAGGAGTAAACATATTCGAAGATTTATGTAATTTTGCAATAGTAATATTATCACTACCGCACTCAAAGCAGAATTTGAACGCGTATTTGGTGCTATGAATGGTTAAAAGCAAACTGCGAAACAAGCTATCAGAAAAAACTTTCAATTCCATTCTTCTGATTAGAAATCAGTTAAGGATTAAAAAATAGAATTGCGCAACGAATGATATTCCCGAAGATGTTGTCAACCAAGTCGATAAAGGCAAAAAAAAGATGGGAACTAGAGACATTGGCGAAGCTTCAACTTCTGCTGAAGTTCTTTTTGAAGATCTGGATCCATACTTCGCTATTAATTTTGTAGGTACGAGAACGTACTGAGCTAATTGTTTTATTTTTAATAAGATGACTAATGTTTAAACGTGGTTTAAAGATTTAAGATTTATTTTTTTACAATATTTTTTTATTTTGTACATGAATAAACTATATACTGATTGTCTGCTCCTTTTAAGGTTTTTCTGAATCTATAGATATAGATTTTCGGTATTCATTGACCATTTGGCAAGATTTTTTTAATTAGCCCAACGGTACCACGAAAATATACCTAGGGACATCTAGCGGATTTTAAGAAAAAGAAAAATCCTGTTTCTGGCGAATTTTTTCTGTTAGTCTAGGGACTTTAAAATTTGTAGAACGACAACCCTAGCCAGTTGCGTTTCGAACGTCAATCACACAGTAATCTATGGTCGATCACATTACGTAACGCGCGTATTCAAGATGTAAAATCGGGAACGCGAAATTTTCGGAAAACTCTACTGTGACCTTTCAATGTCAGTGGGATATGGGGTGAGATTCATATAAAGATTCATATAAAAAATACTAAAAATCCAAATCTTAGCAGTTATTGGCTGGCAGAGGCGATAAAATGTATTTGTGTAAGATTTTCAGCTTTTTATGTAACTAACTGCCTTTACCTACATATCCGTATTATTTGTAATATTTTTCCATTTACACATTTGATTGACAAACTATACCTATAATAATTGCATTTTTATTGTACCTATATCTAAAATAGACAATTAACCAGGGTTGTCACAGTAAACACTAAATATAACTGTCATAAACTCATAAATAGTAAGTGTGCCTACGAACCATGGAGTATAGAGGTAAGGAGTACAATCTCCCATAGGATAATAGTTGAAAATGTGTCCATCTGTAAGCAGTAAATAACAGTTCAAAAACTCTCCACAACAGCGCTCGAGTAGCTACAGGGTACGATAAATCGCCTTATAATACGTTGAGTGATTTTGAATATAAAAATTTTTAAAGCAATAAAATAATTATAAAGTTCAGGTTAAAAATATGGACTGCAGCTACAGTGGCGCCACCCTTATTTTGCTTTTCTACGGTCACTTTTTATACATAGTCTGTACTCCTTACTTTTATATTCCATACTACGAACTTTCAGTTTATACAAAGTACTCTGCTACGAACTACCCATAGAGGAAAGTAATATATGGAACTACCTTTACATTCTATACTACGAAGTACGAACGCTAACAAACTTTGGTATTTGACAGTGCGTCTGTTTTGTATAATGTAAATTCTTTATTATTATAAACTTAACCTTTTATTTATTTACAGATAAGAGTCTAAAACTACTAGATCTGGGGCAAGTGATGTGTACGTCCCTAATTTATGGTATTTTAATTTGTTAAATCCAGTATTCGAGAACAAAGATGACCTATCTAGGTTCTAGAACCGTAGTTGACACACTCACTAGCGATAAAGTATTTTATCACTTGTTCTACCATCGCTTAATATTATAATTGTGCAAATAAACATTGCAGTTTTTTTGTACAATAAAAGGTGTGAAAGGGGATGCTGTGGCCCATAGACATCTACATATAGCCTCGACTAAGAATCAAA